GTCATAAAAAATAAGATGTGCTAATTAAAAATAAGGTTGAGATTAAAATACGACAGAAAGCAAAAGTTAAGGACTCTAATCATGGAACTTGATTTGTTTACATTCAGTTTAATGCCTGCTTAGGACAAAACCGTTGCATAATTAAGAAATATGGGCTCATTCACAGTGAAGACAAGACAACCAGCAGTCGCCCTACATGTTATACACTTTGTTATTTGGCCCTTGTTTGGTAAAAATTAAAATTTTAATTTTAATCTAAATTTAAATCAATAATTAATTTTAACCACACATTTTATGAGACCAACAACATTTCAATCACACATCTCATCAACTTTTATTAAAATCTACTAAAAATCTGATTTTAATATCCACCAAACAGGGGCTTGATGTATGAAACAATAAAAAAACTATCAAATTAATGTACCAAATAATAGAGTGTCATGTATATATTACGTAAGACGATTAGGGTCTGTTTGATTGAGGCCATTTTCCATGGAAAACTTTTCCATTTTCACCCAAAATGTCTTGTTTGATACAAAAAGTTTTCTTGGCATTTGCAATTCTTGGATTGCTTCACACGGTGGGTTTTCATTGATTTTAAGTTCCAGGTTTCTGTCTTTTGCTTTTTTTTTAAAAAAAATATTAATTAATTTTTTGTAATGTAAACAAATTCTATTTATAATTGTGAAAAAAAAATTCTCTTTAATTAGGAATTTTCATAAAAAACAAAGTTAAACGAACACCAAAATATTCAAAATTTCAACATTTTTCAAGTGCCAATCAAACACAATTAATTATAATTCTCAGTAAAACAATTTTTAGGCAAATCAATTATTTTTTGTAAAACATTTTCTTTCCACTAATTTTTCACATTTGCAATCAAACGGGTGATAGTTTTCGCGAAGAATAACATTACTTTTTAGAGAATAAGTTGAGTTTGGGAATTTGTCTGATTAATTTAATCAGTGCCGTCAATGGCGCAAGGGCCCCACAAAAAGACTGGAATAATTGGCCGTTCTTTTCCTCGTGGGACGACGCAATCATCGTGCTCTACTGTACAATTTAATATAAAAAAAATTAATTTTAAGTTCAAAGTACGACTCATCACGAATTCAAATATAATATTTAGCGTTAATTGCGCCAATGGAACTGAAGTTTATTTTAATTACATAAATGGTCATTTAAGTTTATTATAATTATGTAAACGGTCATTGAAGTTATTTCTTTACGATAAAAAAAAATAGCTCTCAAGTTTCTAACTGTTATTAATGATCACACGATCTTAAAATTAGCATTATATCTTAAATTAACACCATTAAGTGCCAAAGTGTCAACAAATATCATTATTTATTACACCAATTTAGCAAAAATTATCGTTAAAAATGTAGGTTTATCATACGATTTAAGTCAAAAAAAAAACTAATCGAATCATATTTTCTCATTTAAAAGTGTTTAATCGTGATTCCTAACTTTCCAATTTTGCTAATGTAGAATAATATATGAGTTAAGACTATAGAAATGGTCGCTGAAGTAATTTTGACCTTTTGGTCATTATGCTCCCGTCTAGTGCACATTTTTGAAAAAAGAATGTATTTTTACTGTTTATGTGATGGGAAATATGTGGTTGAAAAAGAATGAAAAATTATTGATGTGATGAAAAATATTATTTTATTGAAGAATGTGTGATTAAAAATGAGCACAAAAATGAAAATGAAAAAAATAATGTGGTTCAAACATGGCCTATATATAAGAGAATTAAGTTTATAAAAGTAGTCACTCTAGTAATAGTAACGTCCATTCGAACATTGTGCCCATTAAATGCTAACGTGGACTAACGAACTTTACTTCCTTGTTGTTAATCAAAATTTATATAATACATATTTATTTTTCGCTCAATCGTATGTTGTAACTTTTAATATTTTGCCATGCCTTTTCAACGTGCTAGCCGACTAAACACAAGCGACGATATAGACTTTACTTTCATAAATTAAGTGACCGTTTCTAAAATGTCAATTAATATCAGCGGCTGAACGGATCAAAAAATATTTTCCAAAATGATATTAATCTACAATAAAAGAAGCAACTCTATCGAACATTCGAACCTATTAAAATTTGAGTTGCAATATTGGAAAAAAGTTCAAAACTCGTGCTTTATTAAATGTGGAAATTACATCATACCCTACTTTTGGAGATCTCAATTCTAAAATCAGGTGAGATCTGTCTTCTTTCAAAAATCAGATATTTTATTTTAATTAATATTTTTATAAAATAAATATTTTTACTAAATATATATACTCCAAACCCTAATTAATTCCAAATCAACCCTACCTACCTACCTACCTCCCTCCACCCCCACCCCCACCCCGACCCCGACCCCCACCCCATTTCCCCCAAATCATTCTCTCCCACCCTCCCTTCCTTACCCATCGGACTCCGACAACGTTCGTGCCCTCTGCTCCAGCAGCGATACCGCTCTTAAGCGCTGCCAGTGCCATCAGGCCAAGCGCTCTCTCTCTCTCTGTTTGCCTATCCACTAACCAAGATTAGTCCTAGAAATACAATGCAAATCGCCTCGCAAGGCGGAGGCTTCAAATCGGGTTTGAGAGAAACGGGGTGCTTAGGGTTTGATAATTAAATTTTTGGTGGTGTCGATTTTTGGGCGATCTGACAGCGATCATCGTCCTTTTTTTGGGCGATCTAATTCTTGGGTGTTGGTGGTGTCGATTTATGGCTGTGAAGGTTCGGTGCAGTTCGGTGATGATGGTGGGGTGCAGCTCGGTGCGTTGAGTTTGATTTCTCAGATGGTTTGGGTGGCCGATGGTTGTTGTTGTGGTGTGGTGTGGTGCCGAATTTTTTATTTTTGTTTCCGATTGTGGTTTTCAGATCGTGGGTGGTGGCAGTGTGGCGGCAAAGTGGTCCTGGATTTTTAGTTGTTTTCGTTTGTGGTTCAAATCGTGACGTAGTGGTGATGTGGCGGAGGCGGCAGTGAGGTGAT